TGGATAATTGTTGTACTCCCTCAAGCTGGTCATGGCGCTTGTGATGCCGCTGACGAAGGAGGAAAAAACCATGAGGGCCACAAACACGACGACGATGGCATATATGCGCTCGGGCACATTCTTCGGCTGCACCTCCATCGACGAGGGCGTAAACTGCGTGATGCTCCAGTGCAAGGCCTGAGCGGGCCTCGAAAGCAACTTTACGATTTTGTTACGTTGGTTCCGTCGCCGTTGCCTATTATCAACGCATTGATTTTAACATCCGCCAGACATTGCTCCGCTTCGGGGAACCGTTGATTCCCGTATGCGGCTCTCTGAACGGATCACTGGTCTGATCCAAAATGCGCTCCCCATCATCTTAAGTCACATCTCCAACCCTTGGCCGACACTCGCACCTTAGCCTCCGATTTCATCGCAAATTCTTCCCTCATTTCCGCTGCCATGTTTTATCCGCGATGGGGAGCGAAATTCCCCCATAATCTAAACACGAAATGTCCGAGATGCCATGTATAGCTAAAACGACCCTCCCGTTTTCAGGGCCCGCTAAATTCAGGGCCGTGAAGTACAAATATGCAGTAGAACGATTAGCCATTCCGCTCTCGTGGATCCAGGCAGGCATATCCCACTCCGTCGAAGTATTAGCTGAGACGGCATACCACATGCAAGCAATAAAATGGTTGACGACGGCTATAAGGCAAACTGCCTGCGCGATGCCAATAAAAGTGCTGAAAGTCTTGGATTGCATCGCATCTGTGATTCCTTCAAACGCCTTGGGCATCTTCATGATTCTGAGAAGGCGCAACAACCGAAACACCTTACCAAATCGGATGACTTTCCCCATTCGCATCAGGCGTACAGCATCCCCCTCCAGAATTTTCGATACGTTGAGCATCAAGTCCACAAGAACGAGCGTGAGATCGAACATGAAGTTTGAGCGAATGTACCGCCACGCGATCTTGCTTGGACGAGTCTCGATGCCACCAAGCGTATAGTAGGCTGACAGGAACGACATGACGATGTCGATTGACCAGAACAGCGTGATGAACGTCTCGACGAACCAGAAGGAACTGCTATTGCCCACGCCGAACACGGAGAGAGGGATCATGATGCAATCGTAGCCCAAAATCACGATACTCATCATGTCCCAGGCTGTCCGCTTGTGGCTGGTGGGCAGCATCACCATTCCCTGACAGCAGCCAGGCTCGCGCGTGAGCTCGCCATTCCGCAGGGACGGCGATGCTGACATCAGAGACTCAGGGGCGGCGCGCCTCCTGTCGGGAAGGCGCAAGACTAGAGCTTTGGGGGGCTCGAGCTTGCCTGACGGGGTCGTCAGGAAACTTGACGCGACCCTCCCCCTGCCGACAGCGGAGCTGCCAGACAGGACGCGCCGCGACCGTCGGGAAGCCGCGGCGAGCCCGAGCTCCGGCCAGGCCCTGGCGCCTGGCGGCTCCTGGCGCCCGGCGGCGGGGCCGAAGCCAGCTGCGCGCAGCAGGCTTCGTGGCCCAGGGTAGAGGAAAAAGAACTATGCACACACACCGATTCTGGCCAGACCCATCCTGAGCCCAGGATCGGTGCATATGCCCTTCTACCTTGGCCAGGAAGGCATATGCACCGATCCTGGGTCAAGGATGGACGTTGTCAGGATCGGTGCATGTGCATATTTCTCTTCGCCCGACAGGGGGGGCACCAGCTCAGGGGGGGGGGAGCCATCGACCCGGAATCGGCGATGCCTCGCCGACAGACCGGCGGCAGGCCCCCGAGGGCGAAAACGCGCGCAGCTCTGCGGGGTGGGCTGTCGGGCCCCTGTCGGCGAGCAGCGGGGCTCGATGCGCTCCACCCTGGGCCCATCCCCCACCAGCATAGGAAGGCACCAACTATACACCAACACCGATCCTGGCCCAGGATCACCCTGGGCCCAGGATCGGTGTATACGCCCTCCTGCCTTGGGCAAGAAGGCATATACACCGATCATGGGCCCAGGGTGATCCTGGGCCAGGATCGGTGTTGGTGTATAGTTGGTGCCCTCCGACAGCATTGCCCCTGAATTCAGTCCGAGCTGGTCCTGGTCAGCGACGTCGGCGTACGCGTGCTGTAGGACTTCGTGGACGTGGGCGGGCTCGCGCCGCTCCACTCGGGCCACGCGACCGCCCCGCTGGCAGAAGAAGAGAGACCAGCAAGAGCATAGCCTTTCGGATGCCCGCGCAGGCTTCTTGGATCGGCCCTCGTGCCAGGGAGGATCGGGAGGCGGAGGGGGAGGAGGGGCCAGCGCCGATCCGAGAAACCCGCGCGGACCTCGGACAGCTTATGCTCGCGCCGGTGTTTCCTCTCCGAGCTGAGCCCCACGCTCCCGCCACTGCCGTGCGACTCTCGCAGGGGCGCCGGCTGTGGCCGCCCCTTGCAGCACGGCGGCCGCTGGGGTGTGCCGTTGGGGGACGCGGTGTCGTCCCGAGTGCCTGGGGAGGCAGGGTCGGATCGATACCCGTCGCTCGGAAGAAGCGAGTGGAGGCAGACATGTGTTGTGAGCATCTTGGGGTTGCAGCCCGCCCCCTGGATTGTTAGGAAGAGGCCTGGCTACCCTGTTCCTGAAGAGGGGAGGCGCTCAGGGCATGCTGGATCTTAGGAGCCCCACAGTACCGACCTTCAACGAACGACGGGATGCCACTCGCCAGGCCTCCCCTGGAGCGCGCTCCGACCAGAACCCCAAGGCGGACTCAGCCTTTGCGGCGATGGCCCCCAGGGAGGCCCAAGAGAGAGCGCAAAGAAGGGGCCACGGTATCGGCCTGTGTGTCTTTCTCCTGTGGGTGCCTGCGCTGTCGTCGCACTGCACTTCCTCTGGGGCGACAGACGGGCACCGCTACCGCTACTCCCCAGACCTCTCCCGGGGTGCGTTCTGGCCAGAATGTCGACGAGAATCCGGCCGTGGGCACGAGAAACCTCCAGGAAACCTCCACGAGAAACCTCCAGGAGGCAACTGTAGCGGTAGCGGTGCATTTCCCTCCTCGGATCCTTCGCCCAGTGGACCACGACGCCTCGACGGGAGTCCTCGCACGCTGGCGCCGGCTTCACGGGCGCGCGCGCCTCCAGGACGGCCCCGTGCGGCACCTCGGCGGTCTGTGGCCCGCACGCCTCGGCGGCTGCCCGCAGGCAGCCCTGGTGGTTCTCCACCTTGGCGTGGGGCCGAGCATCCGAGAGAATCGTGTCGTGTGAAAGAGCGCCTGGTTCTCGCCGCGTCGCGTGACAAAAAATCGCGGCGGATTCGGTTGAGCCGTTCTCGGCCTCCCGGGGCCATTACGGCAAATTCGTGTCGTGACGACTTCGGCGTTGGTCTCTGACACCGCGTGGATCGTTCAACCAGATCGTTCCACATTAGCTGACGCTGGGCCCTTGGCGGCGTTCAGCCTTGAACGCCCGCGCTGAGACCGCCGCCGCGTTGACAAGAGACGAACCTGCCGTGCCAAGCCCCCGGCGGTCAAAAACAGCTCAGGATGAGCAGCTGGTCCAGGGGAAGGTGTCGAGACCCCCTGGGGTCCAAGTGGCAAGACATGGGCTTCCCTGTCGCGAACCTCCAAGTAGTGGAGCGGACTTTGCTCACCCCTGCGGGGTAGTCGTCTACACGTTGCTCATCCCCCGCGGGAAGTCGTCTACCCCTCTTTTGAAAACATCTTCTGAGGGAAGAGTAGTCTTCCTGCTTTCCCCTAAGACGTTTAGCTAGGGGGTTCTAATAAAATCAAAAAAATTGTCTCACCAGAAACTCCACGGGGGGGGGCGGGTGGAGGCGTCTCCCAGGCCCGGCGGCCTGCCGAGGGCGCTGCCGGGGATGAGGCTCACAATGGTAACCCTCGCAGATCCAGAAATGCGACTCACTCTGGCGTGCTGGCTCGACGATTTGGTCCAGACATGATGCTCACTATGGTGTTCTGGCTCGATTTCAGCCCTCGCACCTGGGGCTCGAGTCGCATGTGTTTTACGTATGTTCTAATAGATTACTCCTCTCCTGAAGCTCACAACCCATGTGTTTGAGGTATGCTCCTATATATACACACCCATTCCTCTTCCTATATTTTTATAAGCCCGGGCGGGGGGAAAACCCATCCCCCCCCCCCCCAAAACCGGACTCCCGGGACCTGGGGCTTTGGGGCCCTCCGGACGGGCCTCGAAGCGGCCTCCGGGCCTCGCAAGGCGTTTTGCCAAGCCTTCCCAGCACACTTAGGGCGATCAGGGGGGTCATCGGAGACGTCCCAGAGACCCCCAAGACAGCACAAGAGCGCTCCAACCGACGTGACAAGAAGGCCCCCCGAGGCAAACATCATTGATTTTATGAGGGTTTTTGGTGAATTTTGGGTTCTCCTCTTTTCGGCTTCCCGACGCTCCAAGACGGCGGTCTTCTGGGCGTCCGAAGCCGCCTGGGAGGCTCCCAAATCGCCCCACAACCATCTGAAAGGGCTTCCAGGCAGTCCAAGAGAGCCCCAAAACGGCACAACACGGGTCCAAGATGGCCCTCAGAGAGCCCCATGGCGGCCCAAGATGGCCCAAAGACACCCTCCGAAGAATTCCAAATCGTGATTCGGTCGTTCAGGGAGACGGCGGTTGGAGGCAGGGTGGCCCGAGGAAGCCCCCGGAGGCCCTCAGAATACGCCCAGGAGGCCTCCAGAAGGCCTCAAGAAAGCCCGAAACAACTTTTGTGAGGCCCCTAGAGGCTCTCCAAGGAGGAGCTTCCGCAAAAAAGAGCTGAGGAGGATGTGGAGAAGGCGCAGGGTATGGCGAAAATGAGGAACAATAAACATGGAGGAAGGATAACGAATAACATCATTATAGCGGCGATGCCGGAAAAGGCAACCAGGAGTTATCGCTCAATTGTCGGCTTGACCTTCCTGCCATTCCGCCTGCAAGCCAAACTTCAAGGACCAAGGTGCAGGTGCATGGCGCGAAGCGCCACTGCAGTCTTGTGTATATATATATATATATGTGTATATGTCCTGCCCCCCCTTGGTTTGCGCTCCCTCACCAGAGGTTGGTGTCCAAGGGGGGCTGCCAGCGGGAGGCCCCCTCAACCCGAAGGCCGCCGCTGCCAGGCCAGGGGCGGCAGCTCGTCGCGAGTTCGAAGCCCTGGAGCTAACCGGGGGCGGCAGCGCGACGCGAGTTTGAACCCTCTCGGGGTGGGGGCGGCAGCGCGACGCGAGTCCGCACCGGAACCAACCGGCGGCAGCGGGACGCTAGTCCAAACCCCCCTCGGGACCCCTACCCCTTCCATGCACCCCTCTGGTTTGCCGCCTTTCATTTACGGGTTGGGGGGGGGGCTGGGAAAATGCTGACAGCGAAGCTGTGCGATATGCTCGCCACGGTCAGGATGGCAGCCCAAAGTCTTCGTGCTGATCAGCTCCGCTGCCGAAGCAGTCGCCTCTCCAGGAGAACCTGGGCAGACGCGGGAAGGGAACGAAGTCCCCGACCCGAGCTGACCGGCACGAGGACTTCGGGCCGCCTCCCAACTCTTTTGCTCTCTCTCTCTCTCTCTTTCTCTCTCTCTCTCTCTCTATCTCTTCTGCTCTATCCGCGCACGTCCTGGTTAAGAGCGTTGGCCAGCGCTGCGAATCTTCAAGCTCCGCGCTCGTGAAGTCATTATGCAGCAAAGTCTGGGCTCCGTCATTATGTAGAGTCTGGCCAGAGCCGTATCCATCCACCTGTCCATCAGAAGAATGAGCCCCATATTTTCGCACCTGCGGCAGTGCATGGTCGCACGATGCGACCATGCACTGATTAAGGAGCACGGTTGATAACAGTGCCGTTCCAGACTCAGCGAGGCCAACAGTGCTTTGAACAGCTGCCTGAACTCAGCCACTGGGCACTTCAGGATGGCGCAGTCAGGAGCCAGATGCCGAGTCGACATTCACACGAAACGTGCCAGCCGAGGGTCGTGAAGTGTGGCCGACTCCTCAATGCGTCGTCTCAACCCTGCTTCTGTGACGAGAAACGCAATCGCATGGCTGAGACCGTCGCGGCTGAACTGCAGCCGCCATCTCCTCAAGGACAGCAGCTCCATTGTCCTCAAGAAGGCTGCGTGCCCGAACGCAAAAGAGGACGGCCGCGTCGTTCTGCGACCATGCTCGAGCCACCGCTGCCAACGCCATCAGTGCGTACTCTGGCATGGGCGTGGCTCGCTGAGGCGTCTCAGCCCGCTGCCAAGCCTTCAGCAGGCCCCGCCCGCTGTGAAGTCTCCCTTGCGACGCACGAAGAATTCGGCGCCTGAAATCGTGGCATTTGCGTCCCCTGCGGGCCTGCCACTGGCCCACAAGGCTTCAATCCATTCACGCAACTGGAAGTCCAGCTGCTCCCTGGCAGTAGCCACCTGCACGCCGAGGGCCTTGACCCACGCTGGAAGGGCCTGCGCCATCTGAGAATATATGCGCACCGTGCGATGTTGAACCAAAGTGTGTGATAATCTGCCAAGTGCTCGCCGTGCCCGAACGCGAGACACCAAATCCAGCTGAAAATCAATGCGACGTCTCCGTGGCATCATGACCCGTGTCTGGCCCGCCCGACCTAATTAGATGGGTCGTCGGCGGGGTTCCCGTCGGTTTAGGTATGCCCGTAGATCGGTCGAGCAGAGGCTGCCAGGGGCAAAGCTGAGACCCTCATTGGCAGCCGCGTTGAGCTGATGGGACGAAGACCATCCTCTTGAAACCCCGCCTAATCCAACCAGATAATCCATAAAATGCGCAAACCTCGTACACAGATGATGCCTGACACGAAAACGCCACCGAAAGGCTGCCAGAAGGCCGAGGACCTCCAGCGCCGTGATGCGGCTCTTCCACTGGGCAAGCGCGGCGGCCTAAGAACTCTATGTCTTGCCAAGTCCACGTCGTGAAGACGTCTCAACGTCGGAGGGTCGGGGAACTCGGGCTCGGGCCCAAGCTCGGGCTCTCGCTTGCGCTTCGGATCGGGCTCGGGCTCGGGCTCGCTGAAGCTCGTGCTTGCCTTCGCGCTTGGGCTTGGACCTGACGGAAACGGGTCCTGGATACCTTCGGGCCCCGCTGAAAGGGCTCACCACGAATCGTTTGTCGACGGCCTTGGAGTCCAGAAAAGGGCACCGAGAGGCGGAAGCCAGCCCAAACCTCAGGACCGCTTCCCAGACATGCGATGTCTTGATTTCTTCTATGCGCGATCCCCGATGTCCCGACCGCTGCCCAAGGGCTCGTTTTTCACCCCGAATACATCCCCAGTACGAAAGTTCTTTCCTCTTAGGCCCAGACCGACGGCTTGAAGCCTTTAGCAGACGCATCTGAGATAGCCGCCGTCGGGTCCCATGGAATTCACGCGGGTCCAAATACGGCTTTGGTGTCTGTTTCGGTGGATCCGATTTCCGTCCCCGCGGTTCGATTTCGGATTTGCTGGATCCGTGCTCGGTCTTATTTTTTGCGGCGGGTCAATTGTTATATAACACCGTTTTAATTTTGTATTTTTACACTGAAACGGGAAACCAGAAGAAATCGGATCCGCGGACCCCAGAACCCGCCCGTGATAATATTCTACGGGGGAAAGGGGCTTCGGTCATTAACTTCCAACTCATAATCGCCATTTTCACCTAAAGAAGAACATCCTTCGTCCTGCGTCAATGCGTTTCGGCCCTGCACCTCCTGACCCAACGACTTGCCTGTGAGATGTGGCGCGTCGGCTATGTGGCAACCAACAAGTCCGAAGGCCAAAACGCCCATGCGTTTCGGCCCTGCGTCTCCTGTCCCAAAGGACTGCCTGTGAGATGTGGTGTGTCGGCTATGTGGTAACCAACGACGGACTGCCTGTGAGATGTGGTGTGTCGGCTATGTGGTAACCAACAAGTCCGAAGGCCAAAACGCCCATGCGTTTCGGCCCTGCGTCTCCTGACCCAACGGACTGCCTGTGAGATGTGGTGTGTCGGCTATGTGGTAACCAACAACGGGCTGCCTGTGAGCTCCGTAGCCGGTTTGGCTCAAGGTTTTGTGTTTCCCTGCGAAACAAGTGGATGCCGCTAGTCCGCGGCAGTGCTAAGGTTTTTGCACCCGACGTTTCCTCTCCGACTGGTTCGCCCCAGTTCGGATTCCATTTCCTTGGAGTGCGCCTTCCAAACATTCGACCACGGCTCCTCTCCAGCGATGTCCTGGGGCCAGCAGGGGTACTATGGCAAGGGCAAG